GAAATGCATCATAACACAAACTAATTTCCTGAGAGTTGCTTCCACAAGTCTAATGAGCTGAGTACAGATATAGCTATTAACAATTATCATTACTATCCTTAACCAGGGCTATATGACAGTGGTGGTAGTAGATCCCAATGCTCTACTTCATTCCTCTGCGATCTTTCGTTCTTTCTTTCTTCAGTGAAGGTTAACCTGAACATATAACTGTCATGAGCCACGTGCTTGCTTCTTCTCGCCCCCACCCACCAAATGTTTAACCATCTTAATTCAATGGAGCAAAAATGTTGTTTCTTTCTAACATCAGTATTTCGTGCACATCATGGGATTAATCTATTTCCTCTTCTGCTACCACACCTGTAAAATATATTTATTCATTCACACTGGGCTGTTTGCGTTGGTTTGTTTCCCCTCGTTGGTTCTTCTCCATTTTGCTGTTCCCGCTGTCCTGAAATACCACACACCTTGATAGCAGCATTACAGTAATAATGGGGCTAAAAGCGCAAATTCCACTTGCTGACAATAAAAAGGAAACTCCTTAAGGAAACAGTAATTTGAAAGTGGAGGAAAATGGTTTTATCTGCAAGCATCTCAAAGCTGACATTTATCTACTGAAGTCTAGAGTTTTCCAGACCTATCATATCCAGGAAAATAGCAGTCCAATCTCTAGTTTGCTATAAAAGGGAGTTGTTAAAGTCAAAAGGTAATGTACACAGAAAAAACCTTTTGAGCCAAAACATTGAAAGTGCATACCATCTATACTTGAATATAAGCCATTTTTTCAGCACATGTTTTATGCAGTTTTTGTGGTAAAATTAGGTGCCTTGGCTGATATTCGGGTCAGCTTATACTCAAGTATATACAGTATATTAAAACACAAATTTATAACACACACATTTCCATGACTAAATTATAGACTGAAGAGACCTTTGAGATTTCCAATATAAACTCTTGCTCACTATTCCATTAGAGTTTCCAAACAAAAGTAAACAAATAAAATAAAACCAACTTCCACTGATTAATTCTGATTTGGAGTAGAACAGCGGTTCTCAACCTCTGGGTCGTGACCCCTTTGGGGGTTGAACGACCCTTTCACAGGGGTCGCCCAATTCATAACAGTAGCAAAATGACAGTGACGAAGTAGCAATGAAAATAATTTGATGGTTGGGGGGGTCACCACAACATAAGGCACGGTATGAAAGGGCCGCGGCATGAGGAAGGTTGAGAACGGCTGAGTAGAACCAGTCCTTAAGGAGTTCAAGATGCTCCGTGTTTGCTCGTGGGGCAGCCTCCTCCCTCTCCACAGGGCAGACGTCCAGTGATGAGGGGTGTTAGAGACGGATGGTGTCAATCAGTGTTCATCAGCCACTGCCTTGTACCTGTTCGCCAGCTGCCTTCGAGTCAGTCCGAGTCAGGACCACGCCGTGTGGGCTCAGGGTCAAGGTGTGCTCCGCGGGGCTGAGTTCTCGGAAGCAAGTCGCCAGGCTCATTTTGTCTGCAGTGTGTCCAGGTGGGGTTGAAGCTCCCCCCATTCAGTTCGTTGTTGTGCCGCCCCGGGACTCCAGCCAGTGACTGGCCGAGCCATTTTCTAGTTAATCATTCACTCCCTGGTTCTCGTTTGCCGAGTCTGCTGGCACTTGCCAGGTATCTTCAAATATCGACAGCTCACAATCCGATTCCTAGGGCGCTGCCAATCCTCCAAAGTCCATGAGGCGAGTTCCCAATATGTTAAAAATCCGGCAGGATTCTCACCTTGGAACAGTCCCCAGGGCGTTGACAGAGAAAAGCAACAGCAGGATAGCTGAGGAAAAGGAAGGAAGTCACAGCTGCGGCACCCTCCCCACCCCCCAGAGGCTTCGGGGCAGAGATGGGGACGGCACGCAGAGTGGGATCCTCAGTGCCACCCACTCATCTCCGTCACCCGTTCTCTTGAAAATGTGTCAGCCAGGCCTGGCCACCAGTGTGAGCATATCAGTGACGGACTGGCGTGTTTCACGGTGGCCCCATCGCCAACGACTCATTCGAGATCGTCACTGGTTTCAGGACCTCGGTAACGGGATGTTCTGTGGACGTACGTCGCTTTCAGCTCCTTTGAAGGTGGATGAAAGGAGCCCTGGTGGCACAGCGGCTTAGGTGCTGGGCTACCGACGACAAAGTCAATAGATGAAAACCACCAGTCCCTGGTCAGGAGAAAGTTGAAGGTTTTTGACAGCCTCGGAAAGCCCACAGAGATAATTCTAGTCGAACCTGTACGTTTGCTACGATGGCAGTGAGTTTGGCGTTTTTTTTAGGGGGGAAAGGTTTATTAAGACAAGTTTGTAGGAAGATGCCTCAAGGAAACACTTCCTAGCTGTGTTACTTCAGTCTGTCCAATCTGCAGCCCGGATGAGAAGTCGGCCTTTTGCTGCACACACGAGATATGTCAGATTTGGAACACTTTGCCCTAACTTGAAAATATATTTATATAACTTATGATTCTCTGCAAAGTTGTTTTTTGTTTTTTTTTCACGTAAATCCAGCTACTTCCACAGCTCAGGCTTTGTAAATCTTGCTGGGTGTAGACAGCCTCATCTTTCTCCCAACAAATAGCTGGTGAGTTTGAACTGCTTACCTTGCTGTTAGCAGTCCAGTGCTTACCCAAGAGTGCTGCCAGGGCTCCTTCCTTTTCATAAATTCTTTTGTAAATTTAGTAATAATAAAAAAGAAATACTAAAAGAGCTAATTAAAAAAAACTAGCACATTTATAGAAGGCATCTTTTTCTGTGTGTTTGAAAGACTTTTGATCAAATATGGAAAAAATACAGACAAAATGAATATGCCTATTTAACACTGAAAGTCTTAAAGTGAACAACTGACACTGCAGAATAACTACCCACTATATGTTCACAACTACTGTTAAACCTAAAGGTTGGCGGCTCAAACCCATTCAGGGATGGGCTCTGTGGAAGAAGAGGCCTGGTCAGCAGCCTGCCCAGGCGTCCTAAAACTACAGCCCACGGGGCCACATGCCTGCCGAGGACATTTAGCCGGCCCACCGCGTGGTTTTACCCC